AAGGTACTCCCACTGCACGACCAAGTAGCGGGCATGCATTCTCTTTCCACAATCTCTTCCATACTAAAAGGGCACCCTTCTTAAAAGCTCTTTATTTGACACAAACAATATGAAGTGGGAGTTCATATAATTTATCTCATACTTCACCTTCTTTATTATGTTATAATAGTTCATTACCGACGAATCACTCTCTAATTTCACAATTCTCCCGTATCATATTTTGACTCTTTAATTTGCTATTACTAGCTACATTGAGAGCCTTTCACTAGCTATTAAGTAAAAAAAAACAAAAAAAAAAACAAAAAAAATGCACAAACACAAATGTGCGTTAGACATTTCAATTTAACCACTCAATTCAATTGTAATCATTATTCTTCAAAAGGCTGAACCCCAACCCTAAGGGCTCCCAATCATTATTAATATGCCATGAACAAACCTAATCATTACTCTATCACTAGTGAAATAGAATTGAGTTTAATTTTATGGTACAATTGTCGGTATTATTGCATAGGAAAATGGTTATGTTCTCACAATGTTTCACTATCTAACATCCTCATTGATATTACCAAGTTAAATGACCTACTAAATTAAAAAGATTGAATATTCAAACCATTTTTATAGGTAGAAAGCATTCTTAAGTTTAATTGAAAAAAAAAAAAAGTATATAGTGAAAAATAGAGGAATTTTAACATTATTCTAATGTATAATATTCTTTACTAATAAGTCTTAGTCGATATTTATAACAATACTGAATTGTGATTTATAGGAATATATTACCATGTGAATGTTATAATAGCACTTTTCTTTTATTGACCCAGTCGAACAAAAAAAAAATCGTATCCTTCAATAAGCTAGTAAAAAATATATTAATAATCAGGACAATCTTAGCCAAATTGATCGAGCAGTTGATTAGATAATCATAAGGTTCAAAGTTGAATTCTTTATGTAGGAATTTTTGTTGTCCTTTGACGATTGAGTGAGTAGATCATAATTATTATACCTAAAGGTCATGAATTCAATTCTTATCAACAATTTCTTGATTAAGCCTTTAAACGAAATTTCCTATGCGGTTTAGCACGTTCTCAAATAGTGGCAAGTGAAGTATTAAAGTTGTATTAATATTTATTTTAAAATTTACTTTACCCACCAATAATTCCAACTTAATTTGACGTTACGAATTTGAATGTGGTTTCTAGTTTAAATATTATATCAATCAAGTTAATAATTATTTTTTAAAAAAATAAAGGACATATTTATTTAAAAAAAAAAAAAAAAATTTGTCGGAAAATATATCTTATCAGTTTGTTAGCGGAAAAGACAGCTGAGCATGATTAATCTTGAATTTAGCAGTAAAAATAATGTCAAGGGTGTTCCAGTAATTTCGCACTTCTCAAACCACAAACGTGCAAGCCTCTTATAATCCTCGCGTTCGGTGGGTCCCTTCAGGCCTTCAGCACGTTATGCCGTCGGTAATTAAAATCGGATATTAATTTTATTTTAATATATACTCCGTACTATTTATTCTCTTTCAATTCCATAAAAACTAAACACAATTTAAATACCAAGACTATGTGATCTAATGGTACCCGAATTGGACTTTCATTTGGAAGGTTGTAAGTTTGAGCCTTAGTAGAGGTGTTATTGATTCTTTATGTTTCAGTAGGTTGAGAAAGTATATGAACAGATGCTACATTGTATTAGAGCCGTTCTTTATGTTTCAGTAGGACATTGTAATAGAGCCGTTCTTTATGTTTCAGTAGGTTGAGAAAGTATATGAACAGATGCTATATTGTAATAGAGCCAAAAAACACTGAATTTAAATTTTCACTTTTCTCACACTATTCCTCCCATGTAGAATTGCAATTATTTTCCCCATAATTCTCTCATTGCAACCAAACCCCATGTAATTTTATAGTATCCTGAAAGGGGTGGCCAAGTAGATAAAGGCCCTGTTTGGTAAAATGACTGTTAGCTGATAGCTGATAGTTGTTAGCTGTGAGCTGATTCTGTTAATTAGAGTGTATAAATAGTTGATAAAATTAGCTGATTGTAGAAAAGTGTTTGGTAAATTAGCTGTTAGCTGATAGCTGTTTGGTGTAATTTATTTTCTCAAAAAAGCTAATTGAAAAAGTTGCTTGGAGTAACCTTTTGAATTTTAGTCTTTTGAAGTTGCAAAAAGCTAATTAACCAAACATTTATATTGATATGTTAACTAAATCAAACAATTAATAGTGGTCAAATAAGCCAAATTGGCCTATAGGCCAATTTTTTACCAAACAGGGCCAAAGTATAATTCTTGTATGAGAATGTGTCGAGTTATACTCTTGCCAACACACTCTCGGTAAAATTTGTTGAACAAGATCTTTCTATTGCGAATTACCTCATAATTTATTTATTGCACATCATCTGATAGTGATTGCAAGTTTCACGCTTCATCCAAAAAAAAAAAAAAAAAAAAAAAGCTAAGAGTCCAATCAAATATTGTTATGTAGTTAAAATATCAAAGCAATAGTACATATGGAAGATATTACTATGTGACTATGTGTACAATGTGAAGAATTACTAAGAGCTAGTGTGTTTGGTTGGAACATGTGAATGAGAATCAGAATACAAAATTTTGGTGAAAGTATTTTGTATTGTTGGTAGTTGAGTGGAATTGGAATGATTATCAATATTGATGTTTGGTTATGCATGAAGACTATATAATCAAATTAAAGGTTTTAAAAATACAAAAAAAAAAAAAATCAAGACAATTGATCTTAAGAGTGACGATGAAGTGAGTAGGCAATGCAGTGAGGAAGTCGATGAAGTGAGGAGGCGATGAAATGTGGAGAGATAAAACTGAATTAATGGAATGCTGCCAAATTTAAAATAGATAATGAGTTATAGGGGCAATCAAATATTATACTTGTGTTTTAAAAAGTTATCAACTAATTAAACAATATGTATATGACTTTCATTCCCATTCTTTATACCTAACCCCATTAACCAAACACACCCTAAGAGTAACACACCCTAAGAGTACAATCAAACATAACCATTATTTTTGAGGTGTTTAAAAAAAAAAAACTATTTTGAGGTAATGTCTTAATTATCTCCTAATTAATGTCATGAAAAAATTGTATGTGTGATGCATTTAATGTTGCCTAATATTTATATCATAAAACAGGGTCCACATATTATTATAGACGACCCTGAATCGAAACATCGAGTTACATAATTAATATTAAGGTACATAATTTCATAACACGAAATACAAAAAAAAAAAAAAAAAAATCACAACACAAGACACATAGCATAGCATTATGGACTCAGGTGATATAAAAAGACGATGTACATAATTTTATAACACAAGACACATATACATGTTATATATTACTTATTTTCAAATCTGATTTATGTATATAATTTATATTTATAGGCATAGAATTTTACAACGCAAGACACATAAATTAATAACATAAAACACAATTACTAATTTGTTCTAGGTACAAAATTCACTCTTAATGTACAAAATTTCATAACGTAAGACACAAAAAAGTTACAACACAAAATTGTACATACACATTAATTAGAGTCCGTAATGCAATGTTAATCCTAACCCATGGTACAAGGATTGTGCACATGCCTAGTAGGCTTATGCTACAAATTTTGGACTAAATTTGTACGCGTTGTTAAATTGAATAATTTACATTATGTAAATAATTTTAATTAAGTTAATTTCGGTCGAAGGGAGGAATGTAATGCACAATGCACAAATTGAACTTTGCCACGTAACACTTCGACTGTGGGCCCCACAGTGAGAAGATGCCAGCATGGCAGTGCCAACGACTAATTTAGGACTGCGGTCAGGTGACTGTCTGTGATTTAAAAAAAAATAATAAAAAATTCAATATTTATTATCATTAAAAAGACAAGATCTTCCTTAATTTGATATTTAATTGTCTAATAATGATAATTTAAAGAGACCGTACATAACGTTTGTGTTTTGCGGCAACATGATCTAAGACCGTGTTGTGGGCCATCCATGCATGTGGGATATTCATTTTCTTTTCTTCAATTGTACTTAACCTCCCTTAAATCTTTTTTTTTTTTTTTTTTTTTTTTTTTTTTTTTGTTGGGAGATTTTTAAATAAACCTCATTCTGTTATTTTGTTATTTATTCATTAATTGATCAAACTTTGGAAGCACATACACGTCACTAACAAATTATTCATGAATTTTTTTAAACACAAGTTATTCTGCTTTGACGGTTTAATCATTGACTAACCTTATGTCCTTATTGGTCTGAAAATAACATATTTTGTACGTGCACTAAACAATTTATGTGTCTGTAGTTATCATGTTATGTTCTCTTAATTTATTTATATGTACAAAAATTGTTAACTACATGTACATAATGTATTAACAATAAATACATAATTTTTAAATTTGAGTTCACAATTTGGGCAATTTATATCATGGACCAAGGTCCACATAGCATTCACTGAATTGAAATGACAAGGTACATATTTCATACTCATATTGTATAGAATTTCATAACATAAGACACAAAAATCACAACACAAGACACACACATGTTATATATTTACTTATTTTTCAAATCTGATTTAGGTACATAATTTGTGTTTATAAGCACAAAATTTCACTACACAAGACACATAAATTCATAACAGAACAAATTGCACTTTTGGTCCTGTGAGTATTAGGGTACTGACAATTTGAGTACGTGACTTTCAAAACTCTCAATTTAAACCTTTAACTATGCAATTTTTGGCAGATTTGGTCCTCCGGGCCAAATTGCCGGTCAATTTTGGCCGAAAAAACATAAATTGGTTCAAATTGTTTTTTGACGAGGGTAAAATTGTCATTTCACTCCCTTTTTCTTCATTCTCCCTTTCTTCTTCGTTCTTCTTCTTCTTCATCCCGGTGACTAACTCAAATCAACGCTGCTCCGGCTAGGAGTACTTGTAACATTAAATTCTATTATTCTAGATAGGAAGTTAACCACAACAACTATCACTAAAGAATGGATTTTTTTAACAGTTCAAAAAAAGAACTAATAAAAGTTTGCAATACTTAAATGTACCCATAAGTCCAGCACCGGTTAAGCCGCCCAGAAGTGAGCCCTTACTTCCAGATCTTGTATCTGCAAACTAAGAACGTATTTTGGGGGTTCAAATGTGACAATTATACACAAATTGGAAAGGAGAAAAGCAAAGGGCATACAGGCAAAGAGGCCGCCACCAAACAAAAGCGTCCCATAAACTGCAGAGGTTAGAGGTGCGAGGTCTGTGGTTGTCAGCTGACAGTTACAGCGGAGACCGGTTGTCGCAGTGCCGGAAGGCTGTCGGCGTTTCTGGGCCGGAAATCTTAGTGCATCTAAGGTGGTAATGGTAGAAGAAATGCGGTATAAAGATGGTCTTGTAGGAAGCGGCGAGAAGATGCTGATATTGCTGCAAGAACCCATCGTCTCCCCCGTGAACACTACAATTCTGGCGATGAAGAAGAAGAAGAACGAAGAAGAAAGGGAGTGAAATGACAATTTTACCCTCGTCATAAAACAATTTGAACCAATTTATGTTTTTCCGGCCAAAATTGGCCGGCAATTTGGCCCGGAGGACCAAATCTGCCAAAAATTGCATAGTTAAAGGTTTAAATTGTGAGTTTTGAAAGTCATGTACTCAAATTGTCAGTACCCTAATACTCACAGGACCAAAAATGCAATTTGTTCATTCATAACATAAGATACAATTATTAATTTATTTCAGGTATATAATTCATACTCTTAACATACATAATTTCATAACACAAGACACAAAAACTCACAACATAAAACATATACACATGTACCGTAGTCTACCGTGCACTATGAACTCTGGTACGTGGTATAAGGATTGATGCAATATAAACCATGGTTAATGGTATAACAATTGTAGGTAGGGGTGTGGGCACACATGAGACTTGGAAAAAATTAAGAAAAGGAAAAAGAGGAAATTATTGCTTGATTTACTGAAACGACAGTGACAGACAATTATATTGTGTGTTTGATAGTCCGAAAATAACAAATCTGCACCGACGGCTCATGGAGTGTGACCATTGCACATGCGCCATCCCATTAATGTCACTCATCTTTTACCTTCTACCAAACTTCTTCTTTTTTTTTTTTTTTTTTTTTTTTTGAAGAATCTACCAAACTTCTTTGTACTTCTGCCTTAGGAGAAACAAATCTATACACAACACTCATACCATCCTAGGATTAAAAAATAACACATCATTTTATATACATATATTCCAAAAATAACTGTGGCTCTCCTAAATAGGAAGTCAAAAGTTCGAACTCCAGTAGAGATACTGACTCGATTGTCTTACAATGCAGACGTTCATAACTAGTGCCTCTAGTTAGGCCCCATGTGGAAGTTCAACTTGGTACCATTAGACCACAAGATTCTTACAAATGCAAAAAATATATGAACTTCAATTTCGTTACAAAGAAATTATATTGTCTTCGATAGAAATGAATATATAATAAATTAGATCACATATATATTAATTACACGTAACATTGAATAATTGAATACTTTGTAGAAAATATTTGTCACAAAAATATTAATAATATCCTAATTTGCATTAATTTGTCTTTCCATTTATATATATACATACCAAATTAAAGTAGCGGTATTTGATGGTTGAATTGAGTGGATAGTGAGGAGCAGTATCATAGCCGTGGGTTGAAATTAAGTTGGACGGTCAAGATGAAGCCGGCGTGAGGTATGCCAAAATTTCCATATTCTTGTTTGTAACTGATCACGTGCGGGCATTAGTGATCATTTACCTCCCGCACCCCCCCTTCATCGTTTTTCTTTGACGGTTCCATCTCCACCCTCGAGTTCAAAGTTCAAACGGAAAATTCAATAAATTTATTATAAAAATCTCGAAACTAACGTCATATTAAAAATTAGATGCTATACAACAGGGCTGATCAAGAAGATGCCATTGGATTGTGGCATCTATACAACGGCGTTGTATAGATGCTAATACAACAGCGGTGCATCAAATATTTACTCTTAAAAATATATGCACACAATCTCATATTTCAGTGCACAATGCACATAATCTACTCCTGAAATAGTTTGTGTGTATTTATGTTGGTTCGCAGGTTCTCACTGTAGGAGAGATTCTCATTTAATCATTAATCTATCTATATATATCTATGTAGCAATGTAGAGATCATAGTAAGTTTGTCTTTTGGATGCTTATTGCATTTTCGATTCTTTAATCTAACCAAATACGTACTAGAATACGTACAGTTCTATTCTCTCTCTTCCGCTCTCTATATTGTTGTGTCATACAATCAAAATTGATTGCCCCAGCAGATCAAGTTCAAGAAAGCAAACAACATAACACATTTAACAAAAAAGTTTTGGAATGCTCAAATATGCCACGACGTACGGTACAATTGACAATACATGTTTGCAACCCGCACCGGTTTAACACTTTAACTCACTAGTTCAGTAGATACTATTCGAAGGAAGAGACTAAAGTTCGAACATCGGCAATAGTAGTGTGGAGATTATGCACAAAAAGGACACCGGTATTTGGCACTCTCTGCTGAGCCATTGAGCCACCGTGATTTATATCTTTCTAAATATTTTATCGAGTTGAGAATTCAATTTATTTAGGAGAAGACAATACACGTCTGCATAGCCAGGGGAAAAGCCAGAAAGCTGATTTAAATTTCAAAAGCGGTGCACAAAATTTTTCTCAACCTCTGAAAAATGTTGAACAATAAAATAAAATGGAAGAAAAAGAAATGGTGCAATGGAAGATGACCGGGAATGAAATCTGGCGTGTCGGTGCCGACACATTCTCGCCGACAGAGTTACCGGATGGACCAGGTGACAAACCCTGACACCATTAATCTTAACCGGCAAGCCAAGTTCTTTTTTTTTTTTTTTTTTTTTAAGGAAAATATTACATGTAGATAGAGCCGTCGAAACGGTCTCGCGGGGCGGGACGGGCCAAAACACACCAAAGCCCGTCCTCGTAGCGGGACGGGCTAAAAAGCCCGCTTCTCAGCGGGCTTGGAATGTGGCCGGCCTGCCCCGCCATGCCAAAGCCCGCTGGCGGGGCGGGCTAGCCCGCCAATCAATTTTTTCACTGTGTTAATTTAAAAAAAAAAATCATTGTACAATATCCTTAAAAAAAAAAAAAATCACTGTATAGACGTACAGTAACACTACCTAGTATTGTATTCCTATAAATCTATAATCCTATAAGTTATAACACACTAACACAATTACACAAACCAAAATAACATATATTAAATACTAAATATATATACAAAATATATATGTATTAGCAGGTCGCGGGCTAAACCCGTGACCCGCCTGACCCGCCCCGTCTGGACCCTTGACCCAGGCGGGACGGACTAAAAAGCCCGCCTCCTGACGGATCAAAATTTGAAGAACCCGTCCCCTACCTACGACGGTACGGGACGGGTCGACCCGGCGGGTAAAACCCATTTTTGACGGCTCTACATGTAGACACCATTAATCTTAACCGGCAAGCCAAGTTCTTTTTTTTTTTTTTTTTTTTTTTTTTTTTTTTTTAAGGAAAATATTACATGTAGACACTTGTATTGAGACCCACATGAAAAAAGGTAGCATATCAATACTCGCCACGTCAGGAAGTAAAATTTATAGAGTATGATTAGAGAGTTTATGTAGTAGAACTCATTTTAAAAACCCGGCAAGCCAAGTTCTATAGTGGTATAGTACATTAGTCATCATTACTCCAACATTCCCCGCATCCGCAACAGCAAAACGTCCCCTTGTAATCCTACCCATTAAAAAACCACAAGGTAAATCAACTTAGTTTGTCTATACTTGACTGGTTCAAACCAATAAGATTAATAGATACCCTACAAAAAGTTAAATTTAAAATTTTGTGATTATCAAGTCAATTGTCCGAACAACTCGATTACAATATAAGATTATTATCATTATTCTTTATGGGGTACTTCACTTATATTCGTATCGCGTAAAAATTGATCCAATCAAGTCTTAATTGTGATCCATTTAAGACAACTCTTTCAACAAAAAAGATATAAGAATTAAACTCGTAATGTTTAGATACACTGGTCATGTCGATTTGGACAAATACGAAATATAAATATATAGGTGTACATGTAAAGAGAGCAAAGTGATTGAACATTAAGAAAAGATTATAGTACCAAATGTGTTATGGTAGTACGACATGGTGTCCTGTAAGAGGTGAGCTGCCCCGCAACAACACCGTTTCACCATGTGCTGTTGCGTAATTAACATTAATAACTATTACTTTTATTTTAAAATAATGAGTAGATGATGGTGACATGCAAACGGATGAAAAATAATTCAAAAAATAAAACCACGATCGGCGATCGTGACTGCCGTTATATGCGCCGGAGAGAGAGCGATAGTATCACGTGAGACCAAATAAAAGGCATAAAGAGTGTTTGGTAAATAGTTTTTAGCTGATAAGATTAGTGAGTTTGATTATAGCTTATTGTAAAAAAATGTTTAGTAAATTAGTTATTAACTGATAGCTGATTACATGCAAAATGACTGTTTTAAAAAGTTAATCAAAAAATTGATTTGAGTATCTTTTTGAATTTTAGCATTTTAAAACAATAAATTGTTACAAAAAGCTAATTAATTAAATACTCATATTGATTCTTTAACCAAATCAAATAGCTAATACTGATCAAATAAACCAAAATTGAATTATACTCTAACTATGTTACCAAACAGGGGCACGGGGCTATAATTTTCAAAATTTATCTATTTGATTTTTTTAATTATTAGTGTTCAAGATTTTTATTTTAGTTGCAATTAGATTGGAATTAAATTTAATTTATTGGTAAAATTGGGCTTGACAAGGGGCCTTGAGTTGGGTAGTCCAAACCCTTTAGACTTTTGAAATATATATATTTGTGTGCAGTCCAAAAAAAAAATTTATTTGATTATTCATGTTATAGATTCTAGGCGAATGGTTATGGCAAATTATGCATTGGACCCGTGTCCACAATGCATTGTGGATACGAGTTCAAAATGACGTCGTTTTTAAGAAAAACACGTCATTCCAGTTTTTTTTAAAAAATAATTAATTTTGTCTCGCCGTTAACGGCGTTATTCGTTTGTGCCATTATGAATGTACAGTTATGACATTATGAATGTAAGTTATAAAATTATAAATACAGAATTCTGACATTATTAACTTACAATTATGAACATAGAGCTCTAAAATTGTGAACATGAAGTTTCGAAAATTATGATTTTACAGTTATTGAATTATGAATGTATAGTTACGGAATTATGAATGTACAGTTATGCAATTATGAATATACAGTTATGGAATTATGAACACAGAGCTCTGACATTATGAACTTACAATATGAACATATAGTGATAAAATTATGAACATAAAGCTCTAAAATTGTGAACATAGAGAGCTTCGAAAATTATGAAGTTACAGTTATTGAATTATGAATGTACAGTTATTGAATTATGAATGTACAGTTATGAAAGTATGAATGTACAATTATTGAATTATGAACATAGAGCTCTGACATTATAAAAGTACAATTATAAACATATAGTAATAAAATTATGAACAAATACTCCTATAATGAATCTGAATTTTTAAAAAAAAAAAAAAAAAAAGATAACAGTGCCGTTGGGCACTGTTACCCGTGTCCAGCATATCCAGAGCATAACGATTGAATGGTTATACCAAAGATTATGATTCAAAACCATTTTCTTTAATGAAAATAAACGGCAGCCATTATTATCATATCAATGTACTATATAGTTAACTCTACAAGAGGAAATGGCATTTGTGAAAACCAATAATACAACGAAGAACGAAAGAATTAATTATATTAGGCCAAACAATTATACATTCCAAAAATCATAATAATTATTCAAAAATTCATTCAACTTCAAACAAAAAAATATGCAACTCCCTCAAAACTAATGCTCTACCCATTCTTGCTCTTGTGTGTAGAGTCCTGTTATACTGGGTTAGCCCTGCACCAATGCCCTGAGGGAGACTCATCTTCTTAGCTAATACTGTTAGTATGAACCGCTTTCGACGCGTCTAAATGGTTAAGCCGACACGTTCCCAATAGGTGTTCGGGGAGCTCCTCCTCTGTGTCCGCCTACAAAGATCATCATAAAGATATTATTATAAGTGACATTGTCATAAAAGTCGAGAAATGAAACACACTGAAACTCGTTCATTTGGAACCTGTACTAAGAATGCCATTTCTATAACAAGATTGTTCAAGTAGCCTAGAACAAGGTTGATAACCCCCCTTGCAACTGTGGATGATCCAACATCAACATCAAGCTGAAAAAACCAAGAAAACATCATAATTTTCTGCAAATGGAAGATCCAAACATCATATGACACCATAAAATGCAGCTACCTACCTCCAAGTAGTTCTGGCCCTTGAAGTAATTCATTTCAAGTGATTGCCCAATCAAACATGACTTCTTGCCCACACTTTGTTTCACTATCCATGATCCCTAAACAAACATCCAGCCAGGCAGGAAATTTTGTTTCAGAATGGAAAACGATTGGTTGCAGATAGATACTGAGAAGAATTGAAGCATGTGCTCCATCTCAACTAAAAGCCCAAGCTGATAGTTAGATCCTCACGTGTGCGGTGGGTTTCAAGCAACACGTGGACCGTAGTCGCGCTTATGGGTGACGCTGAGATGCCTCTGATACCAAATTGAAGCATGTGCTCCATCTCAACTAAAAGCTTAAACTGATAGTTGGATTGCACATTAATGGCTATATATGCTCAATAAGTACTGACCTTAGAGATGTATGGAATGAGCTTAAACTTTGAGTTCCTGAAGGCATCATCTCCATTAACGAAGCGCTCGAGCAAAGGGTTTTCTGCTAGAGGAGTTTTCAGCATGTAATATAGAGCAAGGGAGTATCTTGTTGCTCCTGGAACCTGATATTTGCAACTTTGTGGCATCAGTATATGGTCAATTTCTGGTTTTTTTCTGCTTGTAATGACTATAGTTACCTGAATGTTGACCACAAAGAAGAATTCTGGCCTGTCCTGTGCTGCATATTTCTACAAACCGCGTAAAATTCGAGTAAGATACTATGTATATATATATGTATAGACAGGAAATAGTTCATGAAAAGATACCTGCACAATGCTCCCGGGGCGAGCAGCAAGATTATCTTCGCGAATCTCAGATTGTAGCCAGTCTGCACCAACTATTTGTGTCAATGTGCCTTTTGATGTAATCTGGAAAAAAAAAACCATAAACATGGTATCCTTAAAGACAGCAAAACATGACATCCTTAATCCTTAATTCAAAATGGCAAAAAGAAGAAAAGAGGCACCTTTGAATGGTCTTGGAGATACTTCTCTCCTCGGATTAAAAACGACGAGGTATCAGCAGCAGCCCAACTGCCAGGCATGTTATAACTTGCATCTTTTGGAAGGGTGCAACCATAGCAGCCTTTGGCACCTTCTTCTCCACCGACGATTTCTTGAAAGTTCTTCTGAACTGCAAGATCCTGCAATTTTCTGACAAAACACGCAGCAGAAGATAGTTTTGGTCGAGGCGTTTCATGGTACTCTGGGGTTGTGCTCCTAGGCCATCCATGGTCTGAATGTTCGTCGTCTGAGGCTTCAGGAACATCGAAAAACTCATCAGCCACATCGTCCAGCTCCACAATACTCGAACAAGCTGAAGGGTATTTCTCGGTAGTATCCTCTTCGATCCTCTCAGTAGCAACAACTTCATTCTTGATCTCCTCTTTCTCGCTAACAGGCAACTGGATATCTATTGTTAGCTCATTCATAGCAGGGTCCGGGAAATAGCTTCCAGATTTAGCCTTAAACATCTCCCTCAGTGCTGCAACAATAGATTCCATGAGTGAAAACTGATACAGAAACTGGCACTACTAGAAATTATAGAATTTCCGACCACCTGAAAGTAATCTTAAATCAAGTTGAAAGCAAAAAGTGGTCGGAAATAGCAACACAGATTTTTCCGGATACCAAAAGTGGTCGGAACAAGGCTTTCGACTTGATTAAAATCACTTTCAGGTGGTCGGAAATTCTATAATTTTCAGTAGTGTGGTGTTATTTCATCATAATGAACAGACGATGATCGAATTACCTGCAATTCCCCCAAGCATGTCAATGGTTAAGGATTTCGAGGTTGTTTTTCTTAGATAGGACTTCCAATCAACAGAAAGCATGTGTTTTACAGTACTCGATTTGCCTTGGTTTACAGGAGTTATAACATGTCCACCACCTAAATCATTCCAAACCAAAACCAGAAATGTTTGCATAAATCAATCACATTGTTCACATTGATTATGAGAAAGAGGGTAAAGATTACATTACTTTTAACAGTAGCTCGAACGTATCCCTCTTGTGGTGGACATTTACTGTGGATCACAGAATGATAAAGGATTACTGCATCAAACACCAGAGAATATAATAGTGATTAGGAATGTGTTACTAAAACCAGTGGAAAGATTTGAACTTTATGTTTCTCGAATGCCAATACCGTATGTGCCATCATCCTCTCTTCTCCAGTAACGACGAAGAAGCAGATCTCTTCGTTTAAGCCCCCTGCAGAATAAAAATGTGTTCTTGAAGCAAGAAAGAACCAAGATTCAAGTGTTTTTTGTGTTACCCAAAAGTCTAATTAACTAACCATGGAAGCCAGTGGGTGGTTAGTTGCATGTGGATAATGTCTGTGTGTCCATCAAGGTGCTCAACCACACTGCCCCTACAGAAGCAAAAGTCCCATCTGCAAAAAAAAACCATTCCAATGGTCCACATAAGACATTTGTGTTTCAGAATCTGGAATTCAGGTTCCCATCATTATAAGTTTAAAAGGATTTACTCTGATCTTGAAGGGCCAAGACTCATGAGGGCTTTGAAAATGGCTTCTGAGGTTCCATCAATTACCCCAACAGCCATTATTGCTGGATGGCCATCCCAGTGCTGAAAAAAACAGAAACACATTTCATCAAGTATAACATAACATCCACAGATATCAGAAAGTAGGGGGGGATGGAATGTTAAACAGATCGATCGACAAACCTTCCCGTTTGGATTCCTATCTTTTGCTTCTTTGAATATCCTTAAACCTGAACAAGCAACAGCAGTGACATAAACTAGAACAGGAAAAAACCAATTTCCTTTTTGTTCTTGGACAAGAATTCATCATGTGTATGTACTAATTACCATTTTGAATCCCAAAGATCTTCCATGGACAAGGACCAATAACATCAGATGTCATTGCATCCACGGGAGTAGAAGATGCATCAGTCCGGGCCATCCTCGACGAAACACTCAATCTGAGCACACCAAGATAATCACAGCCCTATAAGTTACTGAATCTGATAACTAGGCAGGATACCCAAAACTGATTCCTTTCTCATTCTTGTTGAAGGGATATGAAGCAAAGAAATTACCTGAAAGGTTGCCATTTTCTTATAGCAGGTGCCCTTAAATTCTTCTCTGGATTAATTGCAGCATCTCTTAAGCACCGGATCCATCTTGCAGCCTCTTCTGGACTATTTGCTCCAAACTACAAAATCTCTGGTTTTATCACTCCACTGAACATTGTGAACTAACTTTTGGATTATATAGAAGAAGCACATGCATGCATGCATATATACCTTGAGTTGATCATCATGGTTAGAGGTGTTACACAAGGTGAAAGTGAAGAACACCTGTAATTAAGGTGCCATAAAATAAAAATGTTAGAATCTAGGATTCAAAGGGGAGGAAACAAATTAAAACTTTTTGTTTGTTTTTTACAGCTTAATTACAGTTATATATATGTCTTTAATTAATTAGTCACATACTTTTCTGTGGAAGTTCTCCCTTCCATTGTCTTGAACATGGATGCAGGAGTCTATTATTGCACTTCTCAATGGCTCCTGACAAGAATAAATTAAATTTCCCAGTTTGATATTGTATATATATTAATTAGTGCTTAAAACTCTAACCCATTAACCTTAAGCAACAATATATATATACATATACATATAATACCTCTCTTCCAGTAATGGGGACTGCCTTATAGCTCTTGAGGCAGTTATCTTCAAGAATGAAGTATCGTTTGCGACAATACTGGAGGCCAAGCCGGTTGAGGCGGATGAGATAAAGCCACCCCTCCATGTTTCCATCGGAAAGAGGCATAACCATTATTATATTGGCACTAAAATCAACAAAAAGCTTCAATCTTTTCTTGTTTTTGAAGAAGGAAACGAAAACCAATTGAACCTCCTCCCCTTCCCTTCGATCAAATGAAGTGAAAGTAATTAATTAAAAGCTCATATCGTCAAAAAAAATCCCTTCTTTTTTCTTCTGGAAAAAAAAAAAAAAAAAAAAAAAAAAAAAGAGAAGGAAGGTGATGAGGAGATGGCGGGCGGAAGGGAGGGGGTGAGAGAGAAGGCAGGGCGAGGATTCTCTGATCCCAGAAAAGGGAATCAGAGAATCAACGTCGTCGGGAGTGGCAGAGGTTTCTCAGAATTGTGAAAACAATGCCATTTTTTCAGTGTCGAGATTTTGGGATTTTATGATAATGGTGAGGAGGAGGACGATGATGTTTGTTGCAGTTTGTCCTGTCTCCACTCTCCACTCTCTTCTCCCCTCCTCCCGTTTGAAAAACCGTTTGTTATAGTTTCTCCATGAGAGAGCGGTAGAGAGAGGTTGACGACATTGTCATTTTACTCATTTCTCCTTCCTCCTTTGACTAAACATGCAGGCCAGGCCGGTAAGAATAATGTAAAAGATAAGATAGGTTGATATATAGTTGATTCATAAATAATAAGCTAATAAAAAAATATTGGAAAACAATGTTTGTTGTCTCCATATTTATACCAGATATATTAGTTAACACATGCGCATTGTGCGAATAATCTAATGCACAATGTGTATTTTTAACTTACGGTCCGTTCAGAATTTATTAAAGTATTATTCAGTATGCTAGTGTATGTATATCAATGTAAGATTATTAAATTTTTCAATAAAGTAAATACTTCAAGAATGTATAACTATGATACGTGGCATAAATGTTGAATTAACCGGTGTAATAGCAGTATTAGAGGAAATTAAGCACAGTCACCGAATAGTACCCAAACATAATTTTTGCAACACAAAATCATATTAATTGACCTGATCCATGCTTCCTCTTGTTGTCATTTCTGCCAAAATGAATTCTTGATTTCATCTACTCCCTCTGGTGTGCTTCACTGCACTTTTAGTGCAATGACGCAGTGCACCTTCAAAAACATAACCAAGTCCCCCCTCCCCTCCCATCCCAAAAAAAAAAAGACAATGATATAATAGACATAATTTTTCATTTGTGTTGAATATATACTGTAAATTAGATGTACCGTTTTATCAATATCTAAGGCGTGATTCTAACTCTTTTTTTTTTTTGAAAGTAAGGCGTGATTCTAACTAATTGACCAAAGTTCATGTTAAATTTTATTTTGTATTTTTAATACACTTATTCATAGCATATGTTTAACAATTATGTCAATTTTGTTTGGGATGATGTTCGAACATAAGACTTTCCTTATTAAAATCGATGAGTAAGTTGACAATAATAAATAGTTAATGGAATATTTTGTTAATTAACAAAGTTTACATTGATGGAATGCGGGGTATTTAGAAAAATTAAATGATATAATATATGATAAAATAGAAAAAAAATAATTAAAAAAATACTAAAATCAAAATAATATGGACCATTCATTTCAACAATACAATTACACCAATATTTGTTAGTTCTCATTAAGGGCCTAACTTAAACTTAATAATTGCAAAGTAAATAAGTTAAAAGAATAATAGTAACTTAATTTTCTAAATTTTTGAATGCTTGGTCGAGCTGGATGACATTTTTTTACAGTTTGATCCAACCTAAAGTTTAACCGGGCCAGTTAATCTAGTTCAAGTAGTAACCAAATAGATTGATATAACAAAAATAAATACACAAATTCATAAATGTATAAGTTATTTTTTTTGTATTTCTCAGTATTTGGTTGTCCAAGAAATATACACACACTTGTCAAAAAAAAAAAACATATTTTGGAGAAAAATATCTTTCAAAATTTTTATACAAAATACATTTTCAGATTCTTCTCTCTTGTTGGACTCTCTTTCTCTCTATCCTTCTCTTCGAGTGGCATTAAAATGTTAAATGAGTGGGTCAACCAGCCATATGCCCAAGTTACTATTTGGACTATATCGAGTTAGACTAAACTATGCCAAACTTTGTGTGTGTATTAACTTGACTTGGTCCAAAACCTAAAAATTTAAAAGAATTCAGTTTTTATATTTTTTTTCCTAAGTTTTTATGTGAGAGTTATTACATTTATCAATTTAAGTAATTAATATTTTATAAGAAATAAATGTATATTATTTGTTTTTTAAAAAATTATCTTAAAAATAAAACAGTTTTCAACAAGTAATATTTTCAGAAATAGTTTTTCACGTTTTCAAATATACCCTTAAATTTTTATGCCTCCAATTTATTCATTTATTTATTTATTTATTTATTATTATTATTATTATTTGTTAAAAATAAAATAATTTGTACTGTTCCCAAATTAATGCGTTTTGGATATTGTTATTTTAGGCCATGCCTTCAAGTCAAGTCTAACTCTACTGCTAATAAATATAGTTGATGTACAGAGTACTCGACAATACAATAAATGTTCATAAATTTATTTGGTTGTGATTTTTAATGTTTATATGTTCCAAACTAAAATTCTGCATGTCTGTTATCCTCTTTACTATTTGTATTTCTACTGTACGTTTGTGTCTCCTAAACTTTGGCAGCCATTTTCTTTCACCAATACTTATCACTAATCAACATTAAACTACTAATTATATACTTGTACTGGCTGCTTATAAACCACATTTTGTAAAATAAAAATGCTCTTTTCCCCTTTCCGAATTGCATTGCCGTTTTTTTTTTTTTTTTTTTTTTTTTTTTTGGAATAAGGTTCAAATTGGCCCCGGAACGTAACATGAAAATGCAATTAGGTCACTGAACCAAAAAAAAAAAAGTACAATTAAGACACTGAATACTCCAAATGTATGCAATTTCACCTGATAGCAGATTACCATCAATTTTAACAGGTTAGCTGCTTACATAGCAGCTGAGTTGGTATTTTTAATAATTTTTAAATAATTTTTAATAATAATTATTAAAAAAAACCCAGCCACCCATTGGTTTTATTTTTTTTTATTTAATTTTATTTCAATTAAAAAAAATTATTATTAAAATTTATTTAAAATATCAACTCATCTGCCACGTAAGCAGGTAACTTGCTAAAATTGATGGTAACCTGCTATCCGGTAAAATTATATACATTTACAGTATTCAGTGGCCTAATTGCACGTTTTTGGAGTGTTCAGTGACCTAATTACGTTTTTTTTTTTTTTTCAACGACCTAATTGCATTTTCAGGTTATACTCAAAAAATATGACATAGTTATAAAACTTGTTACTTTCTAATGCAAGCTAGAATCATGCTCTAACCGCCCAACTACCCTTGGGCTTTGCAATCCTTTTGTTGTTAGAATTAATGGCTTAGGGTTAGGCCATTGGACAGTTAGTAAGGCATTAGTTTAGGCGGATTATAACCAGTCACAATTATTGACTTTCTTTATATATCTATATTATTGCATTATATTGTATGGTTTCAGATCGCTGATGTATATTGCAGTAGCTGAGATCACAGGTTGGACCTGTTGATGTACGTTCCACCCATATAAAAGGTCTGGTTATTAACCTAACCCTAGATAATTCTCACAAAAAGTATTGTTAATTTTAATTATATTAGGTCACCTTTCTTGAAGAAATAATCCAAGCATTGTTACTTGTACGTATTTTTTATTATGGTTATTATATTTTATTATGAGTATATAAACTCGATTTCTTGTTCAATGTTAAGAGCTTATTCTCACTCGATGACAATTATCTGAAACTCTAAAGATGGAGATCATACGAGAAAATAAAGTCAAGCCAATACTAAGAAATAATGGGCAGCCGAATGCTTCTCAAATCGCCATTGTTGTTGGTCATGTAATAATAGACTCTCTTGTTTAATTAATGTCGAGATATCACTTTTTTAGTTGGTTGTATGTAGTTATCTTGTGGTCTGATGACATCTGTTACCATTCTAAATGGAAAGTCGCATATTTGAGTCTCATCACAAATTCACAATCAAGAATGTTGGTATAATCATATTGAACAGATATACTACGTATAAGTTAAGTTGTAGTTACTAAAAAAAAAACTGGTTGTATGGATTAAAATTGGGTAAATGAGCTTTGATAAAATTGGGCATCATTCTGATAAAGAGGCCCATCATTATGTTCTCAAACAAACCCAAACTTAGGAAGAGTTTATTATTATTAATTTTTTTTTTTTGTTTTTTAAATATCCCTTTTTATGAAAAACAACTATATAGCACTTATTCTTTTTTTTTTTCTCCCTTTTTATAACATATACCGTAATAAATAATTATTGAGTGATGATGTAGATAAAGTATATCTTAATTCTTAACCATTGTAGATTCCTAATAGAAGATGAAATTTGTTCAATTACAAATTTACAATGGTCCGAAAACTCAATATACATATTACACTAAAATCAGAAATAAATCCAAGAAAAGAGTTACCAATTGCATTGAAAAACTTATTATACAAATTTTACAATATCAAGTTGATTATTGTCAACACTCTCCTGATCGAAACCGTCACACATGATTTTTCAAGACTAATACTATAATTATTATAAATAAAAAAGGTTAACTTTTTTTTTTTATATAAATAGTAAAAATAATAATATTTTATTTTATTTATAAAAATGCTATTACTTTTAAAATTTATTTATAGTAAATTCATATTATTATTATTCAGTATTGCATGAATTTTTTGAATGATAATGAAAACTCGATATCCATTATCTAAGGATTAGTAAATCCAACTCCTGTGTAATAGCTAATAAATTATAAATGAATAGTAAATCACATTAAGAGTATTTGATGGATTAAATTGATCCGGGTGGTCCGTATGAAATGACCCAATTAATTAAAGGAATGAAGGAATACGATAAATGAAAAGTGATAAATACAAGAAATGTATGCCACAAAAATATAGATTGTATTAATGTTTTGTAATGCTATTACAAGAGAATAAATGATGTCTTAACAAGAGAATTGAATTACATGAGTATTTATACTAATTGCTTTCTAACTGTCCCCAAAAAAAGGGGGAGTTAGTTGTAAGCGCCCGGCCTCTTCGCTGGCCCCCGCCTGGTACCGGCGACCAAGGTCCCGACCGAGGCCTAAGTCAAGCACGGGACTCGGCCTATGTGGCCAAGGGCCGTCAAGCGGCAGGGCTCTACCCCGAAGCCCCGAGTCCAACGGGACCCATTTTGCTTCGTTCCACAGGGTTGGTTTGCTTCGGGTCCATCTCTAATATATCTATCCATATCATATATAAAGAGTTCGATCGAAAGAGTATTGACAAAAATCAAAATTTATATATATGTGTGTGTGATATTAAAAAAAAAAAAAAGGCTAAAGTGTCATC